TTTCTGATTTTATTTCAGATTTCCAGCATCCCCAGGATTTGATGGTGTGACAGCGCTGTCTTGTGGATGTTATAGTCACTGTATGATATTGGGCTGCAGTACCGTATCCTGCCAGGCAGAGGCAGTCCTGTACCATGTTGTCGAAAAGACTCCAAGGATCTTGGATAACAAGGTGTAGAGCTGGATGAACACAGCAGGTCAGGCAGCATCAGAGGAGCAGGAAGGCTGACGTTTCGGGTCTAGACCCGTCTTCAGAAATTTCATGCAGACACCAAGTCCCGTCTCCACAGCTTCACTGGGAATAAATTCTCTGAGAAACTTTATCCTTTCTTCGGGAATTGGGATTTAAACCAGTTTCTCAGAATCTGCTTTTGGTTGGATCTGAAAATGTGAAGGGTGTGGGCCCGAAACGTCAGCCTTCCTGCTCCTCTGATGCTGCTTGGCCTGCTGTGTTCATCCAGCTCTACACCTTGTTATCTCAGATTCTCCAGCGTCTGCAGTTCCTACTATCTCCAAGGATCTTGGATCAATTTGTAAATTCTCTGAAACGTACAAGCTTCCAGGGTCAAGCTGCTGCTGAAGGTGAGGTTGAAATAGCCTCCGCTGGGGAAGTCCTTCTGAGAATATCATTGTTTTAATTTCAAAAATATACTTTATTCTTATAAACCATGTGTGCATACATACATAGTCACTGGAGTCCTAGAGTCACAGAGATGTACAGAAACAGACCCTTTGGCCCAACTTGTCCAAGCCAACCAGATATGCTAAATTAATCTAGTCCCATTCACCAGCATTTGGTCCATATCCCTCTAAACCCTTCCTACTCCTATTCCAATCCAGGTGCCTTTTAAATGTTGTAACTGTACCAGACTCCACCACTTCCTCTGGCAGCTCATTCCATACACACACCACCCCCTGCATGAAAAAGTTGCCCCTTAGGTCCCTTTTAAATCTTACCCCTCTCACTTTAAACCTATGCCCCTCTAGCTTTGGACTCCCACACTCCTGGGAAAAGACCTTGGCTATTTACCCTATCGAAGTCACTCATGAGCTTATAAACCTCTATAAGGTCACCCCTCAGCCTCCAATGCTCCAGGGAAAATAGCCCCAACCTATTCAGCCTCTCCCTTTAGCTCATGCCCTCCATCCTTGTAAATCTTTTATGAACCCTTTTGGTTTCAGAACATCCTTCCTGTAGCAGGGAGACCAGAACTAAACACAGTATTCCAAAAGTGGCCTAACCAATGTCCTGTACAGTGCAACATGACCCTCTCAATTCCTCTACTCAATGCACTGACCAATAAAGGCAAGTGTACCAAATGCCTTCTTCACCGCCCTGTCTACCTGCACTCCAAGGTCTCTTTGTTCATCAACGCTCCCCAGGACATTAACATTAAGTATATAAGTCCTGCCCTGATTTGCCCTTCCAAAATGTACCACCTCACATTTGTCTCATCTAAACTTCATCTGCCACTCCTCTACTAAAGCAGTTCAGTTCTGAACAGTAGCATATGAAGAGAAAATCAAACATTGGAGTTTGGCTTTACCCAACAAACCAAAGGCATTTCTTGCCTGTACAAATTATTTGAGGCAATGGGAGGGGCAAATAACTGAGCATTTAACTTTGTCAGAAGAACCTCAGGCAACGGTCCTTCCCCACTGTACCTTGGCAGCAGCTGCCCCAAGCTTTAGTGCATCCCTCAGCACTTAATCCCGGACCTTAGAATATGCCAGTCTGCCACACTCAGTCATGGTCAACTCCTTGTTCTGAGTCAGAAGTCACATAACATCAAGTTATAGTCCAACAGCTTTATTTGAAATCACAAGCTTTCAGACCATTGCTCCTTTGTCAAATGAAGTGGAGGGAAGTGCACAGGCACAGAATTTATAGGTGGAGGGATCATCGCAAGATAATTCTAGGTAATTAAGAGTGTCAAAAGATTGTACAAATGGTGTGAGTGGAGTTTTGAGAAGCTGAATAACAAGAATTTGCAGGCGATTAAAAATGTCAAATGGTGTGAGTAATGTGTCAAGAGCTGAATAGCAAGTGAAGGGATGACCTATGATCCAATTAATTAAGGCAGAGAGATAATTGCAAAAATCAAAAATAAGATGACGCTGGAGACAAACCACATGGCCAGAATAACATTATAGGTATAAGAGTCGCATGATGAGGGTCTATTCAAAGTAATAAGTAATCCATAACTGTACAAACTAATTAAGGTAGAGAGATCATAACAAGTTATCAAGGTGATAGTGTCAGAACAGGACAGTAAGGAAGATTTTACAAATACAGAAGTGTGGTAGGGTTACATGTAGTGTGATAAGAGCCCAAGATCACGTTTGAGGTCCTCTTCATGGGTACGGAACTTGGCTATCAGTCTCTGCTCGGTGATTCTGTGTTGTTGTGTATCTCGAAGGGTGCCTTGGAGGACACCTACCCAAAGATCAGAGGTTGGATGTCCTTGAGCGCTGAAGTGTTCCCTGACTGGTAGGGAACATTCCTGTCTGGCGATTGTTGCATGGTGTCCGTTATTATAGCAACATGGCCAGCGTCCCAGGGGACTGGGTTGGATCTGGAATGGGAATGGCGGCTGATAATGTCTGTGATATTGGGGGTGGGAGTTAACACCATATGCCACAATATCATCTTGAATGGCTCCTGCTCTAATTTTGTTTAGTACCAGTCCTGAGAAACATCTCGGTATGTCCGGAACATAAGAAATAGGATCAGGAGTAGACCATCTGATCCCTCAAGTCTGCTCCACCATTCAGTAAGATCATGGCTGTGGACTCAGTTCCACTTACCGTCTCACTCTCCATAACCCTTAATTTCTTTACTGTTCAAACATCTACCCCTATGCCTTAAAAACACTCATTGAGTCAGTCTCTACTGCTTCATTGGGCAGGGAATTCCACAAGACGTTCCACAGAAATATGAGACGTACCCTCTTCCTTTTTGTTATTTGTGGGATGTTGGCGTCTCTGGCTGGGCCCAGCATTTACTGCCCCGTCCCTAGCTGCTGCCTTCAAAGGCAGTGATGATCTGCCTTCTTGAACTGCTGCAGTCCATGTGCTGTAGTTAGATTCTTAGGGAGGGAATTCCAGGATTCTGACCCAGCGGCACTGAAGGAACGGCGATATATTTCCAAGTCAGGATGGTGAGGGGAGCTTGCAGGGGCTGGTGTTCCCGTGTATTGCTGTCCCTATCCTTCTCGATGGAAGTGGTCATGGGTTTGGAAGGTGCTGCCTGAGGGTCTTTGGTGAATTTCTGCAGTGCATCTTGTAGATGGTACACACTGCTGCTACTGAGCGTCAGTGGGGGAGGGAGTGGGATGTTTGTGGATGTGGTGCCAATCAAGCGGGGGCTGCTTTGTCCTAGATGGTGTTGACCTTCTTGAGTGTTTTTGGTGTTGTACCCATCCAGGGCAAGTGTGGAGTATTCCATCACACTCCTGCCTTGTGCCTTGTAGATGGTGGGACAGGCTTTGGGGAGTCAGGAGGTGAATTACTCGCTGCAGGATTCCCAGTCTCTGACTTGCTCATGTAGCCGCTGTGTTTATGTGATGGGTCCAGTTGAGCTGCTGGTCAATGATGACCTCCAGGATGTTGATAGTGGAGAATTCAGTTATGGTAACAGCATTGGATGTTATGGGGTAGTGGTTATATTGTCTCTTATTAGTGATGATCATAGCCTGGCATTTGTGTGATGCGAATGTCACTTGCCACTTGTCAGCCCAAGCCTAGATATTGTCCAGATCTTCTTGCATTTGAACACAGGCTGCTTCAGTATCTGAGGTGTGACAAATAGTGCTGAACATTGTGCACCCATCAGTGAACATCCCACTTCTGACCTTATGATGGAAGGAAGGGCATTAATGAAGCAGTTGAAGATGTTTGGGCCTCAGACACTAGCCTGAGGAACTCCTGCAGAGATCTCCTGGAGCTGGGATGACTGATCTCCAAAAACCACGACCATCTTCCTCTGGGTCATGTATGACTCTAACCATGGGAGAGTTTGCCCCTGATACCCATTGATTCTAATTTTACCTGTTCCACTAGAAGATCATTGCTGATCTTTTCATGGACTCAGCTCTACTTGCCCTCCGGCTCACCATAACCCTTAATTCCTTCACTTTTCAAAGATCTACCTTTGCCTCAAAAGCATTCGATGAGTTAGCCTCAACTGCTTCACTGGGCAGGGGATTCCACAGAGGTATCACTGAAATATTGGTAATAGAATATGCTGCTTTGTTGCTTAGTTACACATTGCAGACAAACCCTACAAGTGCTTAAGAAATCACAGAAAAAAGGCCAAACATGTTTTGATGTGCTTCTTGGGGGTAAGTCCATGCCCTTTCATTCTTAATTTTTATTGTGAGACCCATCAACAGAAAAAAGCCTCGTTGTTGACATACCTAATTTCTCAGAGAATGTGGCGTATATCTTGTGTTTTTATACTGCTGTAATTCTGTGATGTGTAGGTACATCCACAGTGCTGTCAGTGAAAGAATTGTGGATATTTCTAGGACAGAAGGGTGTGTAACTTGGAGGGTTTGCTTTTACACTGCTTTACTTTGACAGCGACTGTTTGGCAGACTGTTGTCAAGTCCAGACTCTGACCATTGAGCACAACCAAAGTTCACCAAACACATTCCTGGGACGGTGAGACTGTCCTATGAAGAGAGATTGGACAATTAGAGCGATATTCTGTAAAGTTTCAAAGGAATAACAGGCAATCTCACTGAATCTTATTTAAAAGAGGCAGACAAGGTAGATGCAGGGAAGAGTTTCCACTGATTGGGAAGTCTAGAACCAGGGCGTGCAGTTTAAAAATAAGGGGTTGTCACTTGGGTTTGAGATGAATTGTTTTTTTATTCAGAAGTTTGTGAATCATTGGAATTTCTCACTATGGAGAACTTTGGAGACTTGGTCTTGGAGCACATTGAGGGTAGCGATTGATAGATATAACTCAATACACATAGTATGCACAACAGAAATCAGAAATTTGCAAACATAGTTTATTCAAGCACAAATTACTTGATTTCCATTTACAGATATATTGTTATCATTTAAATAAATAGAAGACTTACAATCAAGTTGTATATGCAATTAGGTCGGCACAAATGGATGATAATATGTTTACTCCAAACTAGGCCTTGTAAGTACTGAGCCCATTATTAATTTGGTAATGATGGCACATTGTTGCTGTTAACACAAATGACACAAGAAAGCAGATGTGAGCAACAGAATGTCCAAGATGAAGCTGATGCCTGTGTTCCACTACTATCATTGCCAAGTCCTGAAGCACAAGTATGGAACAAGAACTCGATTTTCAGCCTATCGAGCTCACTCAACACACTCGCGAGAACCTGATCTTCATGTTTTAAATCTCTAGTCACTTGGGACAAAATGAAATTAATTATCTAAATTTAAATTTATTTCATGGTGCGGGCAAAACTTTACAATTCTTTTTTCAAGAGAAGGAAACAACTTGTCTAGAAATATTTTCATTCAAGTGCTCGTCACTGCTCCGAAAGCTTGTGTTAAAAATAAACCTGTTGGACTATAACCTGGTGTCGTGTGATTTTTGATGTGTCCAACCCAGTCCAACACTAGCACCTCCACAGCATGCTGTGATATGGGAAACAGATACCGGCTAATTCTCACACTGCAGCTCCCATAGGCAGCAATGTGAGAATGACCGGATAAATTTTTAACACAAAGTTTGTTGTGTGATAGCTAGTGGCCGAGGAACTGTGAGGAACCCACCTCTTTATTTTCAGAATAATGTTGTGTGATCTGTTGTGAGTGTTTGAGGGGGAAAGCAGAGCCTCAGTTTAAAAAGTCATCTGGCAGTTGGAATTTCTGACTGCACAGTACTTGCTTAGTGTTTTTCTTTGTAGCTTTTCTGTCCTCAGCTCTGAAGTAAGGGCTTGAATTTATGACTTACTGAGTTAGTGGCAATAGTATCCTCACTGTGATCATGAGCACAAATGGCTACTTTTAACATGGAGTCCTCAAGACCTCAGGTTCAGTGTCCAGTCTATGCTGATCTTCTTGACCTCATTTGGTACAGCTGGCGAAAGAGGGTGGGGGCAAGAGGGGGTTGGGTGGGGAAGTAGATGTATGGTAAGTGAGTCATTCCACAGTCAGTGCAGTCCTGTAAGCCTTTGTTGGAAAATGGAAATGTGTGGTGGGCAGATGAGCATAGAACTGAACTCCGCTGTAACGCAATGCCCATGGTTTAGCAGAATGTCACCAATCTCAATCTAATTTGCATGTAAAACACTTGGCTACATTGGCAAGGTGCTGTGCTGCATGGAAAGACAGGCAGATAGGTAACCTACTATTTCCTTGGTTCTGTATGTTGTTTGCATCAACAGGGCACGTACACAGCCAAGAGTGATTCTATTTCGACAACAGCACATGTGCTTAGCCAAGTGAAATTCATTTGCAGCACTACCCATTCCATATTTGGGTCACGAGACCAAATCATTTACAGACAAAACATGCAGATTTTATTTCTGCCAATGTGAGGTAACCACCTGCACTTTGCATCAGTTTTTCAGATGTCAAAGATGCTATGGCGCCATTTTGAAGAGTAGCAGACAAGCTATCCCTTGTATATTGGCTGATAACATTCAATCAACAGGAGCAAAAGAAAACAGATTTTCTGATTATATTCTGTTTTGAACACTGTTTTGCTCAAATTCCTGCATTATAATAGCTATACTTCAGGTGTATTCCATTGGGTACAAAGCATTTATGGTGTCCTGAGTTACATATGAACAAGGAATAGACCACTTGATGCCTCAAGTTCAACCATTCAATAAGATCACGGCTGGTCTGATTACTCCACATTCCTACCTCCTCCCAATAACCTTTCACCTCCTCATTTATCAAGGCACAGTGGCTCAGTGGTTAGTACTGCTGCCTCACAGCGCCAGGGACCCAGGTTCAATTCTACCCTCTAGCAACTGTGTGAAGTTTGCCCATTCTCCCTGTGACTGGATGGGTTTCCCCCGATAGTCCAAAGATGTGCAGGTTAGGTGGTTTGGCCATACTAAATTGCCCTGTAGTATCCTGGGATGTGTAAGCTAGGTGGGTTAGCCATTGGAAATGCAGAGTTAGAGGGAATGTGGTGGGTCTGGATGGGATGCTCTTTGGAGGGTTGGTATGGGCCAAATGGCTTCCACACTGTACGGATTCCAAGAATCTAACTAGCTCTGCCTTAAAAATATTCATGGACTGCTTTTCGAGGAAGAGAGAGTCCTGAGGACTCCTAACTCTCAAGAGAAAATAATCCTCAGATCTGTCTTAAATTGGTGACCCCTGATTTTTCAAGTGACTTCCCTAGTTGTAGATTCTTCCACAAATTTTCCATACCAATCCTATCAAGAACCTTCAAGAACTGTGTGTCAATCAGGTCACCTCTTATTCTTCCAAACTCCACTGGATACACAGCTAGCCTGTCCAATAATGTCCTCAAAGAGAGGCCCGTCCATTCCAGGTATTAGTATGGTCAACCTTCTCTGAACTGCTTCCAATGCATTTACATCCTGCCTTCAATAAGGAGACCAATACAGTGTACATTATTCCAGACGTGGTCTCACCAGTCCCCTAAAGCACAACTTCCCTACTTTTCTATTAATCCCCCCGCTGAGAAACATTCATTTATTAACATCTACTAGGTATGGCAGAGCCAATCTCCTGGTTTTGCATATTCCCCATTTGACAAAAAAAATTGAGAGAAACATTTTCACCACTCTCTTGGGCAAGACGTTTCTCCTGAAACTCTATTACCAAGTGACTAGCTTTAGATTAACACAAGTAACTCGAGGTCTTTCCCTAGCGGACTGGGCCTGCTGGAGTTTAGAATTATGCTTGATGATTCAAGCGAGAGACTTGTTGGCATCGTGGTAAGTGGAAATATAGATCTGAGGTTACATTCAGATCAGGCGTGATTTTATTGAGTGGTAGAGTGTGCTGAAGAAGCTGAATGTCCGACTCCTCCTAATTTGTCTGGTCATGCCATTGGGCAAGCAATCCAGAAGTGCAGCCTAATGCTTTAGGGACAGAGATTCCAATTTAACTGCAGCAGCTGGTGGTAGAATTTAAATTCAATAAATAAATCTGGAATTCATTTAGGGAAGGGCATTGACTGTATTTACCCCATCTGGACAACCTGCAATTCCAGGCCCACAGCAATGGTTAATGTATAACTGCTATCAAAGGTCACTTAGAAATGGGCTACAGATGCTGGCCTTAGCTGTGATGCCCACAACTCCTGATGTTGACACAGAGTGGTGTCCATTATGAAACAAGGCCAGTAACTCTCAATCCTTAAGGTAGCCTCCTGCCACTCAAATAACTTTTCTGAAGAAGGGCCCAGACCCGAAATGTCAGCTTTCCTGCTCCTCTGATGCTGCCTGGCCTGCTGTGTTCATCCAGCTCCACACTGTGTTGTCTCTGACTCCAGCATCGGCAGTTCCTGCTATCTCCTACCACTCACACTTGATATCCTGTGTCGCATTAAACTGTGCACATACTGGGGACTTGCATAAAGTTAAACAGGATCGCACTAGCAAGTGCGTTCAATACATTGCTGATCAAAATATGTTAGGCTTTATGAGTGTGTCTGACATCACCTTGGTAACCTGTAGCCTGACATGTTCTCCCAATGACAACCAAGGACACAACTACAATGGGATTACCAAACATCTTTAAAAGCAGTTTGCCTTCAATTGCGATACTGTCCTAAGCATTAGCAATACACTGAATAAATAACCTAAGCAACAACACTGATATTGGCATCAATAAGTTTAGGGCTGTTTTAATATTAGAAAACACAAAATGATTTACAATAATTTCTTCAAAACAAAAGCAACATTTCCGCAACACAAGTTAAAACAGCATTAAAGATCTTCTCCCTCAGATTAAAGTTTTGAAGAATATTACAACTAAACAGCAATGATAGGAGTTTCAGAATTGCTCGCTTCCCAGCTGGTTGCTTAACTGCATTAAGAAATTCTTGTCACAAATGTATATAGAAGTTTTCTGGTGAGCATAACTGACACCAATTAATTTACTTGAAGCAGGTTAAAATAGTAAAACTTGCCATTTTAAGTTCATCTGAATGAGTTCATATGCAGGCTAAAGATTGCACACCAATCAATTGTAGCCTTAATAGATGTTGCTATTAACTAAAGAATAAAGCAATTAGCACTGTTTATGTTGTCTTTACTATGTATGATAATGTTGAGATAAGTACTTAAAAAGTTTTAAGTTGTAACTAATGCTGTGGTCACATTACTAGACAGTCTTATTACTGCATTGTGCTCAATTTATCACTTGCAATTTATCAAAGTATATTTTCGGTAATATTAAGTGTTGCTAAAGATAATTTAACAGAAGTTTAATTCTGCTTAGTTCTTGGAACATCAAGGGGAAATTTATCAGAGGCCTTCTGGATTATAGTGGGGTTCACACTGAGTGATCAGGGAGAAAAGCTTTCTGCTGGATGTCGAGTCAGTAACCGAGGATGTAGGAATAAGAAAATTGAGGTTTCAGGGTGGTGTACTTGTATCTGGAATGCAACGCTTGTAAAGATGTTGGAAACAGATTCAGTAACCATGTCCCAGAGGGAGAATTACACAAAGTGGAAAAACGTTCAGAGCAGCAAGGAAAAATAAAGCTAGAATGCTCTTTCAAAGAGCTAGCACAGGCATGGAAGGCCAAATGGCCTCCTTTACTGCATGATTTCATGGGTTTACATGCTTTTGAATCACTTCCTTTGCTACTCCTTTCTCACATCCCCACACCCCACATTACCAGTTTTAACTCTTAGCGAGAGAGCGCTGCTGGACCTCAGTTATGCAATGGGATTACTCATACCGTTCAGGCAATGTGTAATTTACACCAGGAAAGCTTGCTTCACTATGACCCTAGCGCAAATGCACAGCCCTAACTATATCAGTTATTTATTAACGAGAGGCTTTGTGCTCTGCACTTGTGCCAACAATTTTGTTGTGAATGATGAGCTGGCAGATAAGGAAGACTTTAGCCCAATATCTTTGGATGGTTAAAGCTGGTGATGTGGTGAAGACCTTGTATAAAACTTTCCTCTGTGCAAGTAAGTGGACAAGCAATTTAGGGATCTGCACACTTTGCATACATATGCACAACAGGTTTAAATCCACACTCTCATTTGCCTGCACAAGTTACACATAAGCTGAAACCAAGAAAACATGGAGGAATTGATTTAAGGTTCATCCAATTAATACATTAAATCACCAACAAATGCTGCACTATTAATGCAACAAGAACCAGTAATGATTAGAAACAGAACCAGTTTGTCAATTTAAGTACCAGGCTACATACCAAAAACCTAACAAGAAGCAATTGCACCCATTGCCTGGTAATCTGACAGCTTGTAGAGCACAGGACAACTAACCAAGGGACATACAGCTACCACTGGTCCAGTTGTTCACTTTTAAATTATGTTGTCCACAAAGCACAAAACATAGAACATTTACAGCAACAATTTGAAAGCTGCCAGTGATACTATATTGAGGGCTCCCTTTATGTTGGGCTGTACTCATCCTCCAAATTATAGCTGGTCAGGGAACACTGAACACAAGCCACTGCCACCAAGTAAACACCATCTCATTAATGTTCAATCATCCTTTGTGTATTTAAACTTTGAGGCCTCTGAGCAAGTTAAGATTACGGGATGCGCTGACTGAGCATTGCAGGTCAGATGGAAGCTGGGAACAACTAAATAAGTGACACAGAAGCAGTGTTCCTGTTACAGAGAATGGTGCTATCACGTTTATGCTGGCTACCGCGGATTGAGAGGAACTGGAGTTACCAGATACACTTGCTTCACACCGTGAAGGAAATTATAAAATGGCTTTGCCAGTAAGCTCTTACAAACGACAGGCTTCTAAAGCTGTTGATTCGCCAATATCTCCACTCACAAAATACCAAATTCAGTGGACACATTTTCCCACCCCGGCACAACTGCATTCTCCGAGTGACACCGAAACGGAGGCCTTACAGGAACGGTGGGAATGTGGAACTGGTTACCACTGGTTGATGTGAATAATAGATAATAACAATGGAACAATAGATAACAAGGGGAAAGCTATAGGGGCAAATGATTGGAAGGATACAAGGATATGAGGCAAAGTAGTAAGCGATGAGCATAAGCACTGGCAAAGACCAGAACATTCAAATGGTCTGCTTTGTTATTGTAAAACCCGACGTAATTTGATTGGTTTTGTGAGCTGAGATGCCTGGTCTGCCCCTGCCCCTTCATATTGTTTGGTAGGGGACGGGTGGTGAAGCAGGGTGGTGGGGAGGCTTTATTTTTTGGGTGGGGTGGGTGGGGTTTGATTTGGTTGCGGTTTCACTGTAAAGATAAAAACAAATACATTTCTTCCCAGTAACCCCAACAATACAGGCCTCTTGTCCTACATGCCTGCGTGGGCATCATGCTAGAAACTTTCTCTCTTGAAAAACAAATCACCACCTCTTCTACCGGCTGAACAGTTTGCAAATATACTCTCTGGAACTGCAGCTAGACCCCACTCCCCAACCCCTCCTTTGGGCAAGCTCACTGGCCACTTATAGGACCTTCCCCCCACTCCCACTGCAGGCAGAATTGGCAGTTCAGCAGAGATTTCAGTTGCCAAGGCCTGTCAGTGGTGGGACGAGGGTGGTTGTGGTGAGTTGCGGGGACAATGGGAGGGAACAATGTCAAATCCTCAATTAAGAAGCTGCAGGCAGAACTGGTCTGGTGCAGGACCACTCTCACCGTTCACAAGTACAGGTGCTGTATTCTCAGCATACTGTTATTGCTCTTGGTCACCTTCAGGCCTGGGTAAAAGAAAGGATACACCTTCTCTGTGAAGTTGGCGTGGAAAGTGAACAGATGGGAAAAGAGATCCGCATCGTAAAAGGAAACCCTTCCTCCTTCGTAGTCCAGGTAGATCCCAATCCGGGTGGGGTTGCCTCTCACCTCAATCACTTTAGGGTGGAAGAGGAATGCCCCGAAGCTGTCATTCTCCCTGTATATGGTCCAGTACCCGTGCTTGGGAGACTGACGCAGGTCACCCTTGCGGTTGATGGACTCTTTGGCAACACCCAGGCTCCAGTCTTTGCCATCGCCCACATCAACCTGCCAGTAGTGCCTTCCTGATGCAAAGCCATCAGAGCCCAGGATGAAGGGTGCAACACTGAAGCGCTCCGGAGTGTCAGGGACCATCTTAGGCTTCTCATTGTACCTTACTCTGGTTGGGCCACAGAGGGAGAGGTGGGAGCATGCAGTGGCAGGGTTGAAGGTTAGATTTGACAGACCTGTAAAGATTATTCAACGTTACAATGTTTCAGATAAGCAAGAATTTAAAACAAAAAGAATTGTTTCTCTGCCGTCAGGTACGTATCTTTACAGAAAGATTAAACTGGTCTGGTTTGCTTCTTCCTGCATTTATATGTCACCCATCAGAACCTTAGGACAAAGCAAACCATCTTTTCAGCCTATGGGATATTTTCCTCATTGCATCGCAATTGACCAATCAAACAAAGGCGACATAAAGAAAAGGTAATAAGAACTGCTGATGCTGGAGTCTGAGATAACACACAGTGTGGAGCTGGATGAACACAGCAGGCCAGGCAGCATCAGAGGAGCAGAAAAGCTAACGTTTCGGGTTGGGACCCTTCTTCAGAAAGTATGGTCCCAACCCGAAACTTCAACTTTCCCGTTCCTCTGATGCTGCCTGGCCTACGACATGAAGAAAAATTGTTTTTCTCAGTGAAGGTTCAGGATCTGCAGTGTACGGTCCGAACATGTGATGAAAGCAGGCTCAGTCAAGGCTCTTGAAAGGAAACGTGATCACCGTCTGAAAAGGGATAGGTTGTGGGCCTAAGGAATAAAGGTGGGGGTGGGACGGTAGGCGAATTGACCTTGCAGAAAGCCAGGACATGAAGGACGAACTAAGCGATCTCCCTTCTGTGCTGTAACTGTTCTATGATCCTTTAAGGCACTGTGCAACACAGGAAAAGTTGCAGCCAATGTGCACACAGTAAACTCCCAAAAACAGCAATGCGACAATCACCAGATTATTCTTTTTTTCAAAAAAAAGACATATGGCTCAGCACACCCGGGAGAGCTCGGATTGTATCGACTCCCCCTGCTGCCAGGCCAATAGGGTGGGCCAGGCCGCAGCTTTAGTTCATCTGAAAAGGCAATGCCTCCAACATCGCAGCACTCCCTCAGGATTGTACTGGGAGTGCTGGCTGAGCTCACACTCAAGGCTCTGGAACTGCAATTTGAGCCCACAACTTCAGGGACTGAGGCAAAAGCACTCCCCACTCAGCCACTGCTGCAAGGCAAATGGCTCGTGTTGGAGTGCAGTTCCAACAGCGCTGGGCAGCCTTCATCACCCTCAACCCTCCACTGCCCAGCAATGGATTATCCCAAACTGGGGGGGCAGGTCAAACACCTTCACAGTTCAGCCTGATCAACCCCTCAACTCACTTACACTGAGTCAGCAGGAGGCCATTCGGTCCCTCAAGTGCACCGCCAGTTCGATTAATGACATATCTTTATGTAAACTATCACCTACCCATCTTAATTCCATAAGAAATCGTGGGGCCTTCCCCAACAACCACCCCTCCCAGCGCCCTCGCCCAAACAGGCAGCAGAGATAAAAAAATCTGTCGCTTTGCGTCACCTGGGTTTAAGATCTTGAACATATTTTTCCACGTCCAGTACTGTAGCGGACCCAAGTAGTTCTCTGGCTTTACCTTCACAGATATATTCTCCAAGGGAGCCACGCAAACCTTCGCTCTACATTCAGAAGCGAAAGAAGCAAAAGTTAGAGCCATTTCTTTACTGACGGTGCAGTACTGGTGTTCCAAACGTCCCTCACTGGGACAACAGAAAGTATTGCAAATAGATAGATACAGAAGAGACACAACTGTTCAGTAAGCCAAGACCAGTGACATCAGACTCATGTTATGAGGCTAGGCAAGGTTCTACAGGGGACCCAATAGAGACTTTAAGGATGTTGTGAGATTTTGGTGTGTTTTCATCGACAATCAAAAAAAAAAAATCAGAGGCTACAGATTTTAAATAGTTGAAAAAACATCTAGAAAGATTAAGTGTTGTTACAATTCTTTACACCTCAAAAATAGGCTTAAAATACTTTTTTCTTTACAGCTCGAAGGTTACAGGAGGTGCTTTACTAATGCAGGTTATTCTATCCAGATAGTGTAATAGCCCTTTCCACTTTTCTATGAAGAGAGAATGAATGTTGTGTCTTTGTTGAGGATCGTTCAGTCATAGAATTGTGTGGGCAAGTTATGTGATGAAACCCAAGGGTAAACATCCACCAGATTAAATTTGTCAGTTTTTATTCCCAGTATTGTTTCGAGTAATTTACATTTTCCAGTTTAACATTAAGTTCTTCACTCTGTGACTCTCATTTCTAAACTAAATTGTTTAGTGCATTTGAAGGCAGGTAGAAAATATTTGTTTATTGTCTCTGCCATTTCCCGATGCCCAAATGTAAATTAATTGCTGGAAAAACTCAGGAGGCCTGGCAGCACCTGTTGAGAGAAAGCAAAGTTAACGTTTGCGGCCAGTGACTCTTCCTCATAACTTTACTCTTGTTAATATCTCTTTCCTGGAATTTGGCCTATATTTCGAAGGGAATGGAATATAAAAGTAGGGACGTGTTTTGCTGTAATTATACAAGGCATTAGTCAGACCACAGCTGAAATCCTGTGGAAAGATATACTGCCTTTGGAGGCAGTCCACAGATGGTTGACTAGGCTGATACCAAGTATGGAGGGACTGTCTTACGAGAGTGGTTTCGTAGATTGGGCCGGTACTCGTTAAAATATAGAAGAATGAGACAGGATCATGTTGAAATGCACAAGATTCTTAGAGGACTTGACAGGGAGATGTGGAAAGGTTGTTTCCTCGAGGGAGAATCTAGGACCAAAGGGCATAATCTCAGAATAAGGGGTCACATATTAAAGGGAGATGAGGAATTCCTTCACTCAGAGCATTGTGAATTTGTAGAATTCTTTACCGCAGAGAGCCATGGAGGCTGGTTGTTACGTATATTCAAGGATTGAGATGTGGCCTCACTGATGCCAGGTATAACTGAAGCAGAATAGCCTAACTTTTGGGTGTCAGAGAGCAAGGATCTCTGGGTTGTTAATGGAAGACTGTTACTTTTTTTTTACTTCTTAAAAATTTATTCATTCACAGGATGAGGGCGTCACTAGCTAGACCAGCATTTATTGTCCCAGAGGGCAGTTAAGAGAGAACCACATTGCTGTGGGTCTGGGCTTGTTTGTAAGTCAGATCAGGTAAGGATGGCAGTTTCCTTCCCTGTGAACCAGATGGGGTTTTCCAACAATCGACAATAGATTCGTAGTCATTAGATTCTTAATTCCAGATATTTATTGAATTCAAATTCCACCATCTTCCATGGGGGGATTCAAACCTGCGCCCAGACCATTACCTGGGTTTCTAGATTAACAGTCCACGATAATACCACTAGGTCATCACCTCCCCAGGATTACAATTAGGGTTTACAATTAGGAGTGTAAACATTAAGACCATTGGGTTGCTTTTGATTTAGGGTAATCAAGCATTGATTTTAATTTAGAAAACCCACAAATTGGACGTTTGGGCAGTTCAGAATGAAACTGACTTGGATTGGAAGCACAATATAGTTTCTCTCCTAAAAAGGAAAATGGAACAGTTCAAAGAATACGTTACCTTTGCAGAAAGTTGGTTCATACAACTTCCAGACCAGGAGTCTTGATTAGAAATCAACAGATTATTGAAAGCTGAGAAAGTATAAGTTTTCAGTTTTGAAAGTATTCATGGAAGAAGAACTGTGAAGAGTCATTTGAATCAAACGTAGATTTCAGATAGAGGGGTCGTCTCTCCAGATTTGATGCTGTAATGTAATGGTGTTGGAGAATAAGTGAAAACTTTGTTTTGCCGTGTGTTTTAGGATTTTTCTAAACTGTGGTCTATATTTGGATAGCTTAGTAATTTCGATAGCTGCATCAAATAATCTCTTCACGCACCTGAATAAGCTCCATCTGAGCTCAAATCTCAAAGCTGCCACTGAAATGGGAAAACCAAAGAGCTCCCATTCCTCAATGTATTAGTTGAAGAAAGAGTTCTTGAGTGCAATTTACTGAAGCCTACATTCAGCCTATGATTTCAGGGATGAAGGGTTTGTCAATTGAGGAGCGGTTGAAGACTCTGGCTCTGTACTCATTGGAGTTTAGAAGGATGAGGAGCGATCGGATTAAGACTTACAGAATACTGAAAGGCCTGGATAGAGTGGATGGAGAAAAGATGTTTCCACTATAGGAGAGACTACGATCTGAGGATACAGCCTCAGAGTGATTCTGTAGGACTGAGATGAGGTTCTTTACTCAGAGAGTAGTAAGGGCATGGAATGCCCTGCCTGCAAAAGTAGCAGACTCGCCAACTTCAAGGGCATTTAGATGGTCATTGGATAAACATATGGATGATAATGGAATAGTTTAGGTTAGATGGGCTTCAGATTCGTTTCACAGGTCGGCGCAACATCAAGGGCCGAAGGGCCTGTACTGCGCTGTAATGTTCTATGTTCTAAAAGGAATTTCTTCAGCCACAGGGTGGTCACTCTGTGGAACTCATTACAGTAGACGGCTGTGTTGGCCAAGTCATGGAGGGTATTTAAGATAGAGATAGGCTCTTGATTAATAAGGGGATTGAGGGCTACGGGGAGAAGCCAGGAGAATGGGTTTGAGCCATGATCGAATGGTACAACAGACTTGATGGGCTGAATGGCCTAATCCTGTTCCTATATCTTTGGTCTTACAGTTCGCTGGTCAATGTGTGTGTTGTGGTTCCTACAGTTCCACTTACTGGCAAGTTGTGAATAGGGCCCTAGCCATCTGCTCAGCTGATGCATATCAAAACTATCCTGTGAAATGTCAGATCAAATCATCACTCATTGTATCCGGTGAAAACGCACCAATCGGCTTATGTCCACTACTTTGGCCCCGGTGATCCCCAGTCTACCTGAAGAACTCCCACCATTCTTCATCAAGACAGTGCTAATGGGATCTCCCATGTCTGAGGGAGAGAAAGTTTAAAAGTCTCATCCTAAAGATTGCACTGCCTACAATGTGGTACTCCCTTAGTACTGAACTGAAGAATCAGCTTATATTGTTGCAGTTGAGTCTTGGAGTTGGTTCTGAGCTCAACTTTGCTACGTAAAGGAAAGTATGCTATCCACAGCATCACAAATTAACCACATCATGCATTATTTCTTGAAACATTTATCATTTCCTACTTACTGTCACACCTTTATGCTCCCAGTTTATCTAAGCCAACTTTCCAACTTGGCTTTTTTAAAGTTTGGGACCTTTGTTTGGGACTTAACCACATCAATCTCAAAACTCAACATAGTGTTCGCTTGTATTATGATCATTTCTCCCCACCCTAAAGAACCCTTTACTATAAAACTGATAACACCAGTTCTTTGCATAATGGTAGACTGAAAAATAGTCTGCTCGCTGTTTAGGTAAACAAATATGTTGTTCTAGAAGATAGTCTCAAGATATATTCACCCTCAAATTTATTTTTGCCAATTTGATTTGTCCAGTTCACATAATGGTTACAGAGTTCCATGGTATTGTCTTACCTCTGTTACATACTTGTCCAATTTCCCAATTTGTACTCTGCACAACACAACACATTTAGGAGGTGGTAAACTACTCATTTGCTCTTTGCTATTTCTTAGCTCCAACTGTATGGATTCTGATTTTCTGGGCTGAGATCCTCTCTCAATACTGGCCTTACCTCTTCTTTTACCACCCAGGCTCTCAGTATCCTCTTCCAAGTACTTTCAAATTTATTGCATACCTGAGAAGTTAGATTTTAAAAGTTGTTGAAATTCCCTAGGTCTTCGGTTCTTTACCCATGTGTTGATCTGCTCATTAGAGTGACCAGTAACATTGAGGACAATAAAGTACCTTCTGTCAAACATAAGCTTGTCAGTGTCTTTTTAAAAAGTTCTCTGCTTACAGCTGCCGCACTGATTGTAGATTCCCCTTTATAACAATAATAAGACCTTATGAAGTATCTTCATGGAGTTAAAACAGTAAAACCACACGACTAAATAGGAATAAACCTAACAAGCTTTAACACGTGGTAATACGGAACTAGAATTGATTACCTTTTCTGTGTTTCTTTCAGATTCTGCAAATGCAAAATAAAAAAGAGATTAGAATATAAACACACAAGATTTGATTTATTTTGCACAAGTTAACTTGGAGGATTTTTAAAAATGAAACTAATCTTTTTTGTTTTTAACCAGCAAGACCAATAAATACATTTGTCCACCCAGTTGGTTTGCTGGTCCATATCAGAGGGCAGTCAAAGAGTCAACCATGTTGCTGGGGATTGAGAGTCACATGCAAGCCAATAATTAATCAGGCTGTGCTTTTCTATTAAAAAAAACATGTATTTAAATTTCCTAGCTGTCCCGCTGTGAATTCCAACTCATGTCTCTACCTCATACCTCTGGATTACTCATCCAGTGACCAAACTGTTACCCAGATTCTGGTTTTGACAGTTGCAGCTTAGTTATATGGCACGTACTGCACCGAAGCAGAACATTCAGCAAAGCAGTTTCTTGCTGTTGTTAATGCTCCACATTCAATTCCTCCTTCCCTTCATCCAATCCTACCAGCATATCCTTCAATGCTTTCCTTCAAACAGAGATCCTTCAAACCCATTCACCTTGACCAATTCTTTGTGGTGATACGGCCTACCACCCTAACCTAAGACGGATTTCCTGAATTCTTCCAACTAGATTTGTGTGTGGCCACTCTACCATCGGAAAGTCTCTGGTTGTGGTCTCACATGCAAACTCATGTGGAGATAACTTCATGGTCATCCGTCCGTCTCCTCTTTGACGAAGAATAAAAGAAAATGCCTCAGCCTGTCCAAATTTTCCTGACAAGTGTAACCTCCTAATTCACACCAAAAAGCAGAGTTTCTCTAAGGTGAACTGACTGATAAGGTTGGGCTGTTATTAATGCAGACCTGGTGGCTCCAATGGCACTTCACAGTCATGGCAATTAGCCAACAACAGTCTCGCTCTACCTTGCTGCCCTCAGTACTGGAGGCCAGCCAAATTCCACTGGACTGAGCACCGAGCTGTAGAATCATGCAGAATTCACAGCGCAGAACCAGCTCAGGTGGCTCATTCCATTAAACAAACTCCTCTTGAATTCCTTGGTTGGATTCTTTACTGGCCATCCTACATTACTAAACCCCAATTCTCGATCAGTCCATTGGGGGCAAAAAAATCCCTAAATTACAGACCCCATCTGTCGTGAGATGGAGAGGGGGTGTCTGTGGCCACTGGTCTTTACATTTTGGCTTACTGTTTGCAGACTGCTAACAAGCAGCTAGAGCCTGGCCCCGGATAGGTGAGAGAATGCGAGCTGGTTTACCGATAGGAAGGTAATGTTATCCTTCTGGTTTATCTCCTCCTCCATCGCCTTGATGCTGCCATCCAGTGACAACAGATCTCTGGGAATCTGATCGATCTGCCGTTGTAATTGGTGGCTCTGTTGGTTCACCTCCTCCTTCAACTGCTGAAGCAGGACAGATTCCTCCTTGTAAAGAAAGCTGTGCAGCTCCTCGAAGTTTTTCTTGATGCTGTCCACTATACTCTGGGTCATGTTCTAGGCCCAAGCAAATACATGCAGTTAGTAAGTTTCACTTTAAATACATATACAGACATGCATCTGCACACAGAGTTCATGCTGGATTCACAGCCAATAACCTGACTATCTCTGGCTGTGAGTGACTCCCCCCACACCTCCCCAGAAGATGTCTTTGTAATCAGTTTATCGAGTTATACAGCATGGAAACGGACCCTATGGTCCAACATATCCAATTGCTTTAAGATCGAAGATACTGTCCTCAGACCCAGCCCCAAACCCTGTTCTGCAGCCACTGAATTAATTCATCAAGCGTCCAGATGCCTATCACTTCAACACATTGTGTTCCCACACCAACATTTCTATCACAGGCCTGCTGCAATATTCCAGAAAGGCTCAATGCAAGCTCAGGGGGGAACAACACCTCTTAGGGACCTCACAGCCTTCAGGACTAGCATCGAGTTTAACAATGTTGTAGCAAGAATATCCCCTTCCTCGTCTCTTACCTACCCCAACAATCCCAGGTACTGCGATGAAATGGGTTGCTTTCAGCACAGCCAACCCATTTTCAACTACCCGCAGCCCCCACTGTCAGCTATCTAGCTTTCCATCTTCCCTGGCTTATTATCAACAATCCCTTTGTTTGTCTCCCCATTTCCCTTCTTGCTCTCTCTGGGCTCCCTCTCCACCATCTCCTCATTCTTTTTCCCTCACAAATGCACCCCCGTCTTCAGCATAAATACCACCTTCTCCGAGCTAATTCTAGTTCTGAAGAAGTGTCACTGGATTCGAAATGTTCACTCTGCTTTCTCTCTCCACGGGCACTGCCAGACCTGCTGAGTTTCTCCAGCGAATTCTGTTTTTTGTTTGAAACGATTCCTTTCCCTGGGAAATGTCTGAAGCCAGATCAGGCTCTTTCCTATTTTGGCAAAATGTCCCTGTTTGAGCCTAAGTCAAGCTTCCAACTACATAGCCAAGGCAGAGTATTTCCACCTTAAACACAATGAACGATCTCCATCTGCTGCTGAAACCCTCAGCCAGGATGATACTCAATCACCAGATCGGACTATTCCAAGGATTTCTTCGCTGAATGCCCATCTTCAGCTCTCCATACTCCTACAGCTTGTACAAACCTTTACAGCCCATGCCCTGATTTGCATCAAATTTAGTTTGCCCATCACTCCTGTACTTGCTGACTCCTAGTCCATTAACAGTTCCATTTAAATTTTCTCACCAAGGTCAAATTTCTCATATCTCCACCAACTCAGTCACTTCCTCCAAATCTGGCCACTTGTCTATCACTAATTGTAATCATTCCACCACTGACAATTGGAAATGTAGCTTCCCGGCCTCTAGTACAGGCCCTGGCATTCCCAGCTCTAACTTCTCAACCTCTGTCTCTCCCTCAAAAGCTCATCCTTTGACCAAACATTTGGTTAAATGTTTCCTCCTTTTCATGCCAAACTCTGGCAGGTAACATTCTGATGAAAAGATTTGGGATATTTTAATGGCTGGCAGACACAATACAAGTACGGGTGGTCGTTGTCGCACATGAGAAGAAACAGAATCACACTCAGCTAAAATGCTCCTCCCGTGGGTTTCAAAGGGGGTGAAAGGTTGTCAGGAATAGGCAAGAATGTGGAATAATTAAATCAGCCATGATCTTATTGAATGAGAGATGCGGACAAGCGGCCTACTCCTGCTCCTAATTCATACGTTCACATCAATAATAGCCAATTGGACGAGGCACCAGAGGGATAGTGGCACCAGCCTTACACCTGAGTGGGCAACAAATGAATGGGTCATGTGCAGAAAGTGGTGCATTGCTGCCAGCAATCAATACCTCTCCTTATTAACATTCAATTTTACATTCTAGTCACTCGCAACATACATTCAGATAACGACTCGAATAAAACCTGACGGAAGTCAGGAAAATGCCAAAAAAAAAAAAGATGCCATGGCAGAAGAATTGTGAGAGACGGAGGCATTCACTCTTCAGGAGGGTTTTAAAAGTGAGCAGTGAGGTGTTGCAAGGTGGGAGGGAATTGTGAAAGATTAAAGACACTGAGTGAGGAATGCCAGAGGACATCGGATTTTCCAACTTCTGCACAGGTTTGCTGAGAAAGTATTTCAAGATCAAAAATAAGGAAAGGTTTGGATCAAGTGAGTCAAGTCAAAACTGTTTTCAATGACTGAAGGCTCCATAACCAGAGGGCAAAGATTTAAGGTGATGGGTGTGACAGGAGGGGGAAAATAAATCAAGATTAGAATCACTCTGTTTGAGATAATAGTGGTGATAGTTTCAACAAGTCTTTAAAATGGGCTAAATATTTGATGGAGGGAAATATATCTAGGATATGGGAAAACAGCGCAACCAATTAGACTGCTCCTCAGAAGGACCAGTACAGATTTTGTTTTATTCATTCACAGGATGAGGAGCATGTTGCTTTAATTGCCTAGAGGGCAGTTGAGAGTCAACCACATTGCTGTGGGTCTGGAGTCACGTCGGCCAGACCTGGTAAGGGTGGCAGTTTCCCTCCCTGAAGAACATTAGTGAACCAGATGGGATTTTCTGAAAATTGACAATGGATTCATGGTCATCATGACTCTTAATTCCAGATATTTATTGAATTCAAATTCCACCAACTGCCGTGGCTGAATTCGAACCTGGGTCCCCAGAACATTATCTGGGTCTCTGGATTAACAGTCCAGTGATGATACCACTAGGCCATCACCTCATTCAATAGTCTGAATGCTCTCCTCGTATACTCTACAATCCGGTCATTCTGAATAATCACATACAGATACATAATTTAAGAGTTCAACATAACAAAACAGTGTCAAATTGCGAGGTTAGAAAAGGGGCACCGGCCTTACCAAGGTGTCCTCCAGCAGACCCTCAAATTTTCTTTTTGCTACGTTTCGCTTTTCAATCAAGGTTTGCAGTTTGATCACAGATTTCTGAAGTTGTGTCTAGGGGGGAAAAAAAAATCAAATCACAGCATACTGAGGCTCTGCAAGAGCAGAAGATACAACAGGAATCCAGAATTTATGTGATTTTATGGCCATAGAACAGAATTTTTAAATTCAGAAATAAGTATATTTAGTGTCAAGTTGTCATCCTCGGAGACCTCAACATTAACTCCAGATGCCATGATATGTCATGGCATCAGGTCGCACATAGGCAAGGAGATTTCCTAATGATTACACCCCACCAGCTCTTCCCAGTTGAGGGATCACCGCTTTATGTTAAACGCCACTTAGAGGAAGCACTGAATGTGCTAAGGACACAGAATGTACTTGGTTGAGGGTGGGGACACACACACCCCCCAGTGTCCACCACCAAGAACGGTTCAACAGCAAAACTACTGACTGAGTTAGCCAAGTCCTAAAGGACATTGTTGCTAAACTGAGAGTCTGCGGCCAGTTGTGACCAACAAGAGGGAAAAAAATGTCCTTGACCTCATCCTCACCAAGCTGGGAGCTGCAGATGGATCTATGACAGCATCGGGTGCATTGACCACTTACACAGTCCTTGTGGAGATGGAGTCCCGTCTTCACACTGTGGGTGCCCTCCATCCATTATCACTGTGCTAAACAGGGCCGATTTCAAACAGACCTAGCTGTGGACCATCAGCAACAGCAGAATTGGATTTTACCACACTCAGTAATCTCGCTAGCCAGTACGTGGATAATGGGCCAAATGGCTCCCTTCTGCACCATGTTCTGGCATATCGCCAACTCCACTATTACCGTTGAGCCAAGAGATTAACCCTGGTTCAATGAAAAATATAGCAGGGCATGTCTAAAAACGAGGGGTTGACCTGGTGAGGTTACAATAGTGTCCTCTGCATGCCAAACAGCTGAAATGGCATCAAAAAACTGGGCTAAATAAACCCACAACCAACGGTTCAGTTCTTGTTTTTAATTCACTCATGGGATGTTTTATTTTATTTCAAAGAGAATGAAGTGTAAAAGTAGGAAGGTTTTTCTAAAACCATGCAAAGCACTAGTTGGACCACGGCTGGAATACTGTGAACAGTTTTGGGCCCCTTACCTAAGGAAAGATGTTGGAAGCAGTCCAGGGAAGGTTCAGTAGCTGGTACTAGGCCTAGAGAGACTACGTTATGAGGAGATGTTGAGTGGCTTTGGCCTGTATTTATTGAAATATAGAGGTGACCTTGTTGAAACATACAAAATTCTTAGGGGACTTGAAAAGGGAGATGCGGAAACGTCTACGACCAGAGGGCATAATTCAGAATAAAGGATTGCACATTTCAGGCATAGATAAAGGAGGAACTTCCTCTCTGAGGGTGATGACAGACCACAGAGGTCTGTCGAGGCTGGGTCATTCAGCATTTTCAAGGTTGAGGTAGACAGATTTTTAAAAGGGAATTAAGGGTTATGGGGAAAAGGCAGGAAAGTGGAGTTAAGGATCATCATTAGCCTAACTGTCTGTTAGGTACAAGATTAAATGTATCACTTAGCTCCAAGGTGAATAACCTGTTAATCTGCCTTTAGCAATGTTGGCTGAGTAAACACCATCCGGGACACCGTAAGGGCTTCTGGTTTTTCAAAGGACAGCCCCTGCTTGGTGAGGAACTGGGCCTCAGCTTAGGTCCGGTCAATTAGCTGTACAAGTATCATACCCCTGACTCTGAATGAGAGCTCCAGCAGTGCCGATTTGAGATTTGAAACAGAGAAGGGCAGATGCCCGGTGTGCAACACGTGAGCCATATGTGTCGCGGGACACTTGCGTGCCTGGGGAGGGGTGTGTTGGGATGGTAGCAACGTCACGGAGAACCTGAAGTTAACTGAGAAGGGCGTGGTGTCACACTTGGTACCTTGAACTCCTCCGCAGCCTCCTGTATGTTGAGGACATCGTGATGCAAGTGTTTCCTGGAGTCCCGGCAGTCCAGGCAGATAACTTCGCAGTCTGTCACACAAAAGCGTTCCATTTTCTTCCGGTGCTCTGGGCAGGTGTGCTGGCTGGGGAAGGTCTCCTCTAGCTGGGCACATCCTTTGCAGACTGTCGCCACGACACTCGAGAGCTTGCGGTTACTCTTCAAAGCACTCGACCCAGAGATATTGGAGCAAACCGCGCAAACCAACTGGCCCTGCTGCTCCCAGTATTTTGTAATGCAATCCCTGTGAAGAAAGGATTAGATGATAGGTTATTTAGCTGGGAGTTACAAAACGTAGGAGCAGAAGTAGGGCCATTCGAGTCTGCTCCGTCATTCAATGAGGTCATGGCTTCTCAGATGATCCTCAACTCCACTTTCTTACATTTTTCCCCATAACCTTTAAATGCCCTTACTGATGAAAATCTGTCCACCTCAATCTTGAAAATGCTTAATGAGCCAGCCTCGACAGACCTCTGTGATCTGTCACCATTCTCAGAGAAAAAAAACTTCCTCATCTGTCTTAAATGTGAGATTCTTTACTAGGAATTATGCCCCTCTGGTCCTAGACTCTCCCAAGGGGGAAAAAACCTGTCCACATCTCTCCTGTCAAGTCCCCTAAAAATTTTCAATGTTTCAAAGAGGCCACCATTCATTCTTCTATATTCTAAAGACTATAGGCTAAACCTACTCAACATCCCCTCATAAGGCAGCAGTTCTTCTCTTCCTGGTATCAGCCTATTGAACCATCTCTGGAATGCCTCCAACACCAGTCTATCTATCCTTAGATAAAAGTCCCAAAACTGTCCACAGTATTCCAGTTGTAGGTCTGACAATCATGGACCATGATGGATCAATTATGCAGCAGGATCTTGATCAGCTGGGCAAGTGGGTCCAGAAATGGCAAGTGGAGTTTAATATAGACAAGTGTGAGGTGTTGCATTTTGGAAAGTCAAATCCAGGTAAGTGTTTCATGATGAATAGTCGGGCCTTAAGGAGTGTAGTGGAACAGAGGGACCTTGGAGTTCAGGTGCATGAAATTGGAGTCAGACGTAGACAGAGCAGTGAAGAAGGCTTTTGGCACACTGGCCTTCATCAGTCAGGGCACTGAGTACAAAAGTTGGGAAGTTATGTTGCAGTTGTGCAGGACATTGGCGAGGCCACACCGAAAACACTTTCGGTTTTAGTCACCTTGGTATAGGAAGGATGTTATTAAATTGGAAAGGGTGCTGAAGAGATTTACAAGGATGTTACCAGGACTCAAGGGACTGAATTATAGGAAGTGGTTGAAAAAGCTAGGACATTTTTCTTTAGTGTGTAGGAGCCTGAGGGGCAATCTCATAGAAGCATATAGGATCATGAGAGCCATGGATAGGGTGAATGCGCTCAGTCTTTTTGCCAGGGTTGAGGAATCAAGGACTAGATGCATTAGTTTAAGGTAAGAGGGGAAAGAATACATGGGAACCTGAGGGACAGCTTTTTTTTTTTGCGCAGAGGGTGCTAGGCATATAGAATGAGCTGCCCGTGGAAGTGGGTGAGGTGGGTACATTAACAACATTTAAAAGGCATTTGGACAAATACATGGATAGGAAAGGTTATAAGGATATGGACCAAGTGCAGGGAAATGGGGTTAGCGTGGATGGACATTTTGGTCAGCATGGATGGACATTTTGGTCAGCATGGATCAGTTTGGGCCGAAGGGCCTGTCTCCGTGCTGAGGACTCTGTGACTAGTACCTTGTGTAGTTTTAGCAAAGCCTCCCTACTTTTATACTTCATTCGCTTTGAAATTTAAGCCAACATTCTATTTGTCTTCCCAATTAACCGATGAACTTAGCTTTTAGTGATTCATGGGCAAGGACTCCCAAATCCCTCTTGTGTAGATTTCTGCAATCTTTCTCCATGTAGACAACATTTAGCTCCTCTACTCTTCCTGCCAAAGTGCATAACCTCACACTTTCCCACATTATATTCTGTCTGCCAAGTATGTGCCCACTCACTTCACCTGTCTGCATCCCTCTACAGACTCTGTCATCCTCACCATTTGTGTTTGCACCTATTACTGGTTTAGACCAGGGCAATCTTTCAGCTTTTACCTTTAGGGACTTAAGTATATCCAAGGAGCTTAATGAAAGGACAGATTTGCATTCATGTAACATAGCTCACAACTTGAAATGCAGGACATGCAGCTCAAACTTGTGCACAATTTTCTGAAAACAACAATCACAATTTCAGTGAGATTGGTTTTTGCTGGATAAAGATTAACCCAGGACACCAGGAAGTACTTTCCTACTCAAATATTGCACCATGGGATGTGCACATCAACGCAAGAGTGCAGATGGCACTACCCTTCATTACTGATCTTAAAGATTCTTGGGATTTAAGTTCCACTTAAGTCAATGGTGATGAGCTATCTTCGTGAACCACTGCAGTCATGGGGTGTGGGAACACTTGCAATGCTGCTAGGGAGGGAGTTTCAGGACTTTGATCCAACGATATTGAAGATGATTACAGATGCATGGCTCGAAGGTGACTGTGTTCCCATGTGTCTACTGCCTTTTGGGGTCGGGTGTTGGTTAGCTCAGTTACCTAGATGCTGGTTTGCGATGCAGTGTGATGCTAACAGTGTTGGTTCGATTCCCAAATTGGCTGAGGTCACCATGAAGGACTGTCCTTCTCAAAACCACCCCTCACCTGAGGCTTTGTGACCCTCAGGTTAAACTACCAACAGGTGTCCCTCTCGCTCTAATAAGAGAGCAGCCCTATGATTTGGTGAGACTTTGGTGATTTTAACTTTACTGCCCCTGTTCTTATGGGTGGTTGAGGTCGTAGGTTTGAAAAGTGCTAACGAAGAGCCTTGATGATTGCTGCAGTACGTTTTATAAACAGTGATGAACACCAACTGGCTACAAAAAGGCACGACCAATACTCACTCATCTCAATCCACATGGACAAGGAGAACCACAACTTCGACTGGGACAACACCAAGATCCTGGGACAGGCTAGGCAGAGACAAGCACAAGAATTCCTGGAAGCATGGCACTCCACGAAGCATGCTATTAATAAACACATTGAACTCGACCCCATATACATTCCACTATGGAAGTGAGGCAATCCATCTCAACGGACCCCAGAGTTTAAAAACCAGATGGGAAAACACACCAACGCTTCATCAGAGGCTGCACTGAGGATGTTACCAAGCACGGTAACGAAACATCTGCGGAACAAGAAATCAACTTGGCGAGCCAACCAACCTCAACACCCACAACCCGGGCTACAGATCTACTCCAAAACCTTAGTGATGTGATACATGATAACTGCTGCTTGTTTCAGTGGTGGAGAGGGTGAATATTTATGGTGGTGGATTCTGTGCTGATCAAGCGACCTGGATGTTATCAAGTGTTCTTGGAGCTACACTAATCCAAGCATGTGGGGAGCATTCCATCACACTACTGACCTCCAGCAGGACAACACTCCCTCAGCATTGTACTGAACCTGGATTGGTTCTTTAGCACTGGAGGGGGTGCAGAGGAGATACACTCGGTTGATTCCAGAGTTGAGAGGGTTGGATTATGAGGAGAGACTGAGTAGACTGGGCTTATACTCATTGGAATTCAGAAGAATGAGGGGAAATCTTATAGAAACATATAAGATTATGAAGGGAATAGATAAAGTGGAGGCAGGGAGGTTGTTTCCGCTAGCAGGTGAAACTAGGACTAGAGGGCATTGCCTCAAAATAAAGGGAAGCAGATGTAGGACTGAGGTCAAGAGGAACTTCTTCACCCAAAGGGTTGTGAATCTGTGGAATTCCCTGCCCAGTGAAGTGGTTGAAGCTACCTCATTGAATGTTTTTAAGGCAAGGCTAGATAAATTTTTGAACAGTAAAGGAATTAAGGGTTATGGTGAGTGGGCGGGTAAGTGGAGCTGAGTCTCAAAGATCAACATTTTTTTAAAAGTCTTAGGATGATTCGCCTTGCAGCAGTTGACTGAATACTGGTGAGATTTTGAGCTGGCTGTGAATGCAGCCTTGCTGACCATTAAAAATTCAAATATCTTCATTTATGCTCAACACTGAGTTAGCTTTGTACATCCAATAACTTTCATGCCGTCTTGACACAAAGGGGAAATAGAGCCAGTTAACAAATTGCTTAATCTTGATTTGTCACACACAAGACCAACTTGATGGTACAATAAAATCTAAAGTTTCCATTGTGGGAGTACTGCAGTTGTAAGGTAGCTGTTTTTTGGTTACTAGCCTAAACTGAGGCAACCCTGCATGATCATCAAGCTAGACACAAGATCCCATAGTTCTGAAGGATAGCAGGGGAATTCTCCCTGGTGTCCATGGGGTCTTGCTGTGTGCAACCTGGCAGACACATTTCCCACATTACGACAGTGGCTACAATTCAAAAGGCACACAATTCAATCTGAAGCACTTTGGAAAGTACAGAGATTGTGCAAGAGGCTTTTCTATTTTGCAACAACCTGCCAGATATTGTGGTTCATTTCTGGCGTAAGCCCATAATGTAAACAAACTATTGCTTATCTCAATTTCTTAAAGTGGAATTTGAACTCAGTACCCTTGCATTGCTAATCCAGAACTAAATCCAAACTTAGTTTCGTACTTCTCTTCAGTCCGTCATAGGTAAAACAAACCCAAGCCATGACACATTCTTCCTCCACTCAAGCCCTGTAACATTCACCCTGCCAAGTTCAAAAACAGTCCCTCCACCAGCCAAGTGATGGCAAACCCTTCTCCAAGCCCAGTGTCTGCTGCCCCGACCACTCCCAGCTTAGTGTCAGCACTCTGCTTCTCTCAGCCCAGTATCTGCTCCTGCATTACTCACAACCCAGTGGCAGCAGCCCCCTTTCTCCCAACCAGTGTAGTGTCAGCTCCCTCCAGCGCTCCCAAACCAGTGTCAGCTGCCTCCACCACTCCCAGCTTAGTATCAGCGTCCTGCATCTCCCAATCCAGTGACAGCTCCTGCATAACTCTCAGCCCAATGGCAGCACCCTCCTTTCTCCCACCAGCCCAGTGTCAGCTCCCACACTACTCGCAACTCAGTGACAGTTCCCCACTTCTCCCACCATCATAGTATCAGTTCCCTCCCATCACTCCCAACCCAATGTCAGCTCCCCTCCGCCACTCCCAGCCTCCTCATTCCTTCTCCCTATCAGCCAGTAAGTTCTTGCCTCTCCCAGCCCAGTGGATCCTCCTCTCTCCCCCAGCCCAGTGACATCGTCACCCAGAGCTCTATGGCTCTCCCTTTCCCAGCCAATTATCCTCTCCAGATAAATAATCTCCATCCAAGCCCAAAGTCCTCCCTTTCCAAGACCAATGTTCATCCCCCACACCATAATCGGTCACATTGTGAGGTTCTTAAGGCCCAGATCAGTCACTACAGCGGACTTGTACCTGCAGAAGTAATGTTCGCATTGTAGCTCCACGGGGTCGGTGAAGATCGCCTGACAGAGGGAACAAGTCAAGTCCAAGACCAATTGTGACAGGCTCTCCGCCGCCGCCATCTTGGATAGAGTCTCCGCCCATGGAAACGACTGCGGCGGCATCGGCCAATTAGAGAAGGGGACAGGCGCAGTGGGCGGATCTCGGCAGCAGCCAATTGGCAAAAAGGTTATCCGTAGCCAATCCGCAAGGTGTTAACACCTCCACCAATCGCAGCTTCGATCAGGCTTAGCCGTAGCCAATCATAAATTCGGCCTGCCTCCTAGAAATGCTGCAGGTATCCGCGGCTGGGGTGTGTTGTTAAGACGACCGGGAGGACAGCGACCAATCAGTGTATCGGTTGGATCCACGGCCGCCACTGGTTGCTACGGAGATGCACCTGACGTCACAACGAGTGCGATATGCGGCCAATAACGAGTAAGGTGCGGACCAGGTGTAAACCAATCGCCAGACCAGCAGCGTGGGCGACCCCGACGGATCTGGCCAATCATGCCGTCGAACCGGCCTCCAAATACCCTCAGGTCTCTCATTAAGGCCGCTACCGCTGTTCACAGGTTCTGGCCGAGCAGATACAATAGGTTCAAGACTGCTGAGCGTGTCAGGCCTCGGAGCTGCCACTGCACCAGTCTAGTGTGCAAGTACGGCCGCAGCGCCTCCAAGGCTTCCCGCCTACAACACTGGAACTCTCTGTTGAGCCATCTTGTGGTACAGCCGGTGGGCTGCGCCGCCGGGAATAGGAAACACCGCACACACAAGAAAGCAGCGGCCCGGAAACGGCTGGGCCGCAGGACGAGAGGGAGGGCCAGCGGCGGAAAAGTCCGCAGCAAGATAATGGTCCGCAAAAGATTCGTGTGTCGACCCAGATTATCACGACACTCGGTCAGCTGAGCGACATAACAAACTTGACGCTTCGACATCTTAGCGCCCACGTTTGCTTTTGCAATTGATGATAAAGTCAACATGACCAGGAACCTGGCTCAGGGGATTAATTAATAATTAAGAGTCTTAACAGACTGGGAAATTAGTATTTTAGCGGCTGGGTGTCTTTGCAAGTTGCACGTAGAAACATTTCTCCATATTGCAAGGGAGAACTTCAGAAGAGTATTATCTAAATAGAGAAAAGCTGCAGGTAATACAAAAAAAATGGATGGATCAAGTGAGTGAGTGAAAAGCTGACAAATGGAGTATAATGTGGGGGGAAAAATGTTTCCTTCACTTTGAAGGGTACAACAAAGGAATAGTGATGTTTAAATGGACAAAACAGCAAGAAGCTGCAACAAAAGGGGACCTGGGGGTACTTGTGCATGAAACGCATGTAATTGGGAATGCTAATGGAACGTTGGTTCTTGTACTCCAACCCCCTCAAAACAAGCATAGGGAAGTCTTACTGCTGGTGTACAAGGTGCTGGTGAGAGCACTACTGGAGTACTATGAGCAGTGTTGGTCCCCTTAACTAATAAAAGACTTCATTGGAAGCAGCTCAGAAAAGGCTCACGAGAATGATCGCTGGTATTGGGAAGGGGTGGGGTGGGGAACACTATATTATGAGCAGTGGTCAAACTAGTTTGGACTCTACTCACTGGGGTTTAGAAGAATGAGGTGACCTCCATGAAGCGCATAGGATTCTTGGGAAGCTAGACCAGGTAGGTGCTCAGGATGTTTCCCTTACTTGAGCCTCTAGGACTAGAGGGTATATTGTCACAATAAAGGATGAATTTCTTGAGGGTTGTTAGTTTTTAAAACTCCTTGTGACAGACCTGTGGGGTAAGACACTGATGTACACTGAAGGCTGAACTTAACAGCTTGATTAGTATGAGATTTAAGGGTTACTGAAAAGGCAGGAAAATGGACGTGGGATGTTGGATTAACTACAATCTTGGCTGAATGCTCTACTCCTGTTTGTTGCTTATGATTGAACTATCCGTGCATTGTAAAATGTTGACTTGGTACTGCCAGAAGTTCTAGGCACCACTCTCTTTTTGGGAAGGGTGTGAAAGACAGTAAATATTTATAACTTTCTGAAGAAGGGTCTAGGCCTGAAACGTCAGCCTTCCTGCTCCTCTGATGCTTGGCCTGCTGTGTTCATCCAGCTCTACACCTTGTTATCTCAGATGCTCCAGCATCTGCAGTTCCTACTATCTCTGAAATATTTATAACTGGCTAGCTTGGTCACAACTGGAGAACTGTCAAAATCTCAGTTTTTAGACAGGATGTGAAAAGAACTTGTACTAAAAAGATCAATGATACTATTATCAGAGATAAATGGGTTTGGTAACTTCAATAGATTGGAGAAGCTGAAGTCACTTACCTTGGCAATAGAGATATACAAAATTAGGAAGGGTCTGGTCCAATCAATAGATCAAAAAGAAACTATTGCTATTGCTGGAAGGACCAAGTGACAGCATAACTTAAGGGGAATGGTAAAAGCATGGAATGAAGCTGGAGGAAAACATTTACATGGAATAGAGATCCAAAATTTTAGACTTAAAGTTGGAGAGGTATTTCAATTCTTGCTTTCAAAAGGTAATGAGCATGTGACTGGAATCATTCAGAAGGCTGCCAGAAGAGGGCAGTGGTGTGAGTTTAGCTAAATTTCACTTGGAGTGAGCTAATCGCATCTGATGGATCCACACAAGTAAAACTAAACACTTTAATTTTCCCCAATATTAACTTGGACGGACAAAGTGTGAAAGTCTTTAGTGTCCAGATCGGCTTTAAGCCGACACACACTCTCCAATAAGAGAGGGAGTGATGCTGGACCTAGTTTGAGACCAAAGCCAGGCTTGTGAAAGATGTGGCAGTGGGGGGTCATTTTGTTAGCGACCTTTAATTCAAGACTTAAGGCCTTATGGATAAGGAGAAAGGTGGACCAGAAATAAAGTTTCTCATTTGTTGGAGGTTTGATTTTTAAGATGCTGGGATCTGGTCAGATTGGAGTAGCTAGTTTGCAGGAAAATTCACATCAGTAGTGGGAGTCATTGAAAAATAAGTGATGGTGTAGGTCCAACACTTTGCTGTAAAGGTGAAGGGTGAGACCAACAAATCCAGAGAATCCTAGATAATTGAGGGACGTACAGGACAGAATACAGGGGGCGAAAAGGAAGGTTAAAGTAGAAACTCCACTCATCAGCAGATAGTCTAGGTGTATGAAAAATGTCAGGGCTCCCTTAAATAACGGAGTGAAGAGGGTGCTGAAAAAAACAGTTTTTTCCCTTAGGATTACTTAAGTGTTTTGTAAGTATATTGGGGGCAAGAGAATAACCAGAAAAACAGTCGGGAACAAAAGAGGGGCAATCTGTTTAGAACTTGGAAGACATGGCTGAAGTTTTTAATGAGTACATTGCATCTGTATTCACCATAAAGAAGGATGATGTAGGTATAGAAATTGGGGTGATGGAAAATGAATGAGGGAATGTGATATACTTGAGCAAATTAGCATTGAGGAGGAATGAGCAATTTAACATGCTTGAAAGTGTATAAAACCCTTGGCCTACGTGAGATGTAACCCATTCTGCTGCAGAAATCAAGGGTCCGAGGGATAAACTAGGAAATTATAAGTCAGTGAATCTAACATCTGTGTTTGGAAACTGTTGGGGGGGAAAAACTGAGTGACAGAATCGATCTCCTGTTTAAGATGCAGAGATAGTCAGCATAGCTTTCATTGGGAGACATCATGTCTAACAGATTTGATTTGAATTTTTTGAGGTGACTAAGTGTGTAGATGAAGGTAGTGCAGTTGATTGTAGTCAAGGTGGATTTCTGACATTGGTTTTGCATTGGAAACTTCTTAAGCTAAGAGTTGATGGGATCCAGGACACTGGTAAATTGGATCTAAAATTGGCTTAGCCACAGGAATCAAAAGCTGATGGTTAAAAGGTGGTTTTGTGACTGCAAGCAGATTTCAATGGCAGGTGACAAGATTTGATGTGTCAATTTTCTTAAATTCATTCATGGATGAGGGCGTTGCTGGCTAGACCATCCTAATTGCCAAGGAGGCAGTTAAATCAACTATATAGGGGTGCACTTGAGGCCACACTAGATAAGGATGGCAGTTTCCTTCCCTAAAGGGCATTAGTGAACCAGATAGTTTTTATTCATAATCATTGTTAAACTCCTAATTTTTTAAAATTGAATCCAAATTCCACCATCTGCTGTGGTGGGATTCAAACCTGAATCCCCAGAACATTATCTGGATCTCTAAACTAACAATCCAGTGATAATACCACCAGGATGTTGCTTCTGCTTGCTGTTTGTTGTGTACATTAATAGTCTAGACATAAGTGTAGGTGGTATGATGAATAAATTCACAGACGATAGAAAATTAGTTATGTGGCAAATAGTGAGGAGCCTTAAACTACAGGATCATGTTGAGAAGCTGAACAGCAGCAAATGGAACTTTCTCCTTTAAAATAAGAGGTGATATGTCTTGGGAGGTCTAACTGTGCAAAGGAGTACATGCTGAATGGTCAGACCCCAGGAAGTACAGAGAATTGGAGGGACCTTAGTGTGCATGTCAATGGATGCCTGAAGGCAGCAAGACAATTAGATAAGGTGGTTAAACAAGACATGGGATACTTTGTTCCTTTTATTAGTCAAGGCACTGAACACAAGAGCAAGGTGTTATGATGGAGCTACATAAATTAATCAGACCACAACTGGAATACTGTGATCTTGTTGCACCCACCCTCCAAAAAGAAGAATGAGCCTGTACTAAAGGGGTACAAGAGATTCACTTGTACATTGCCCGGACTGGAGCAGTTCTGTTAAGAAAAGACTAAATAAGCTAGGGTAGTTTTCCTTTGGCAGAAAAAGCTGAGGGGCATCTGAGTGAGGTGTAGAAAGTTCTGGGGCTTTGACAAGGAGAAACTCTTCCTGTTAGTGGAGGAATCGATAACCAAGGAGGACACCTTTTTAAGGTAAGGAGCAGGTGCTTTTGAGGGGAAAAATTCTGACAGTTGTAGGTATTTGAAACTAACTTCTTAAAACACTGGAGACAGTAACCTTCATAACAACAAATAAAATAGCACAGCATATCAAGTTACAGGCCGAGTGCTGGAAGATTGGATTGGAATAGATAGATGTTTGTTTGACCAGCACACCATGGTGGGTGAAAGGGCCTCTTTCTGTTCTGTTAAAGCTCTATCATTTTGTAAAAACAGGTTTGGGGAATAAAAGGGAGTCTGCTTTGGGAAGCTAATGGTTGTTAAAACGTTTTTAGTTTAGTTATGGTCAAAGAATCAGTGTTATCAGTTTTATTGTCAGTATAACAAATGTATGCTGCATGCCTGACCCAACATGTCACCAACCTTTACTTGAAAGAGGACCTCTGACATACTTCCAGATCTTCACAGGGCAAAGACCTACAAATTTTTTTTGGGCCACATGAACAAGTTTGTCTTTAAACTAGCACCATTAAACCTTATCAAGGTTGTCTCATTTCCATTATCAGGAAGGTAAAAAGGCATTTTTCATAAACTGGGGAAATGAAGAAGCACATTGTGCTCCAC